TGAGATTATTCATTGAGTCTCCTTGAGCTCGCTGACTCACTTCCATGCTATAAAACTGAGCTCCCAAGACATTCACCTTTTTCACTGCCTACCATTTACGGTCTATTTATCTTAGGCAAATTACAAAACTTTTATTTTCAGAGTAGCCACTGCTACTGTATTCTGCTTTTTGAACTTAAAGAACCCTACATTTTCATTTTGCCCTGGGCCTTGCAAATTATGTGGCCAGCCCTGCCCAAGGACATGGGGTTTGCTGTTTCCCCGGGCACTGGACCACCAGCAGAGGCGGCTCCTCCAGCTACTGGTGTGTGCTATGGCAGGCCCCTCACAGGCAGGTATCCACAGGGCAGCTGGACTGGCTACTTCCTGCCCTTGAAGCGGAGTCCTTCCACAATTGACCTTTATCATATGCCTCCTGGGCATTTCTACTTTACACAAAGAGTAGATGCAAAACAAGTTCTCCCTGCAAGGAAGCCCAGCCTGGACCAGTCAAGGAAATCAGGAAGTCCAGGGGATGACAAGAGGCAGATGGCCCCAGGTGGGGGAAACAGCTTCTCTGGACCAACCTCCCATTCTCTGCTTTATGCTCCAGCCAGACTGGACCCCAGCACCCCATACTCTCCCAGCCTCCAGCCTCTGCACAGTTGGGACTTTGGGGCTCCCTCCCCAGCTGCCTGGAGAGTTCTGGCTCATCCTTTAACCCCCAGCTCCAGTGTGCAGTGTTCTCTCTGCCTGCCTGCCCTCTCTGCCACCCAGAGCCATCTTTGCTGCCCACACCTTGGGCAGGGTCCCTTGGAGCCACTCACTCAGAATTGCAGCTCCTTTTGACTCCCTTTTTCCTACACTGGATCAAGAGCCCCTCCATATTCCATGCCTGGCACTAAAGGAGCACTCTCAGAATGTTTGTTGAACTGAAAAGAATCTTATTCTAGCCCTTCTCTCTACTTTTACACAGGGATCTCCCCAAGACACCCACTTGGATGAGGTCCCAGCTGTTTTAAGAACCCCAAAGCAAGATCAATTCACCCACTTTCTCTGACACTGTGATCCCTCTCACCTAACAATGTTCACTCTTCAGCCCTCTACTAAACACTTACTGCAATTTTGTATGGTTGTGCTAAGATATATAAGTCCCAAGACCCCCGCTAAACCTCAAGCTCCCACAATCTACACTTCTCTGTCCTTTCATAGCCCCTGACACAAGACAGATTAAAATTTAAAAACCTCACGCCTGTAATCCTAGCACTCTGGGAGGCTGGGGCAGGTGGATTGCTCGAGGTCAGGAGTTCGAAACCAGCCTGAGCAAGAGCGAGACCCTGACTCTACTATAAATAGAAAGAAATTAATTGGCCAACTAATATATATATAGAAAAAATTAGCCGGGCATGGTGGCACATGCCTGTAGTCCCAGCTACTTGGGAGGCTGAGGCAGGAGGATCGCTTGAGCCCAGGAGTTTGAGGTTGCTGTGAGCTAGGCTGACGCCACGGCACTCTAGCCAGGGCAACACAGTGAGACTCTGTCTCAATAAATAAATAAATAAATAAAATAAAATTTAAAAACCTTTAACCTCAGTCTTCTCACTTCTAGGAATTTATCCTGAGGGTATGATTCCACATAGGCAAAGTTGAATATACAAGGATGTTTATTATAGAATTATTACATAGGAAATAATTCAAGTATTTATTAACTGGGGACTAATGAAGTAAACTAATTTTGTGCACACAATGGAATACCATGCAGTGCAAGTATGTATTTGTTGAATTGCAAAGGTGCCCACCACACAAAACGTAAGCACAACTTCACTAGCTCAAGGAGAAAGTACAAGAACAGGATTCAACACTCACAGAATCCTCAAATGCTGTGATGAAGGAAACCAGCAAGACCACAGCCCCTTTTAGTGTTAAACACTTCTTTTCAATCATCCACCCAGTAATAGAACTCTCTGAACATTGTGTTGATAATGTTCAGAGGAAAAGTAGACTACAAAACAGCATGAGCAAAATGGTACAGTTTATGTTAAAAAAAAAAAAAAAAGAAGTATATATGCATAGAAAGACACCTGAAGGAATTTTTTTCATCAAAAGTAAGCATTTACCTCTGGGAGATAGGATTTGGGATTAATTTTACTTTGTCTTTTTATTTTCTCCTGCATTGTTTTGCATTTTTATAAAGGTTGTGCTTTATTTTTACATTCAGTAAAGACCATAGAGCTGTATATGTTTGGGGGGGGGGAATAACATCTGGAACAAGAATGTTCTCAATAAATAGTTAAATGAAAACTGACATACAGTCTTGTTGGCACCATGCAGCATTTAGACACATGTCATGATTGCATGATAGGCTGAAGGGCCTCACTGAATGTTACAGAGCACAACAGTGTCCTAGCCTGTTCTCTGAGTAGATAATATTGATGTGATGACCACCCCGACATCAGTCAAGGCCTTTCCGGTTTCAAACAGCTTTCACTCTCAATGTCTCATTTGATCTTGAAAATTATATTCAGAGTTAGTCCCCCAAGCTGAGTCCCTTAAATGTTTTTCTGGTCACCATTAGGCAGCATTTCCAGGTTGGCACAGTTATTTGTTGGATGGATACATAGGTGGATGGGTGAGTGGATGAATGAATGGATGGATAAAGGGATGAATTCATAGCCTTTTTTTACAGAGAAGAAAACTGAAAAGCAGAGGTGAAGCAGTGTGCCTATGTGGATGCAGTTAGTAAATGATCCAATCAGTGGTTTGGAATGATTACGCTATACAGTCTCCTAATCAGCTGTCCTTTATCCTAATTGCCACCCCCCCAAACCTCAATATCACAAAGAGATGTATACTTGATAAGCAAGGGTGATAGCCAAAACACCAAGGGCATGGGTATGGACTTGACCTATCAAAATGCCTCAGCCATGCACTAGCACAGGATCCTGAAGACAGGATCCTTCTATGGCAGGCATTAACCTATTCATTGCTGGATGCGAGTGGGTCCTGGGTGTCAGAAGGGGACTCTGTGGGCTCAAGGCAGGAGCTATGCACCTACTGGTGTGGAACTATTTCATTATTGAACAACTAGTACAGCCATACAGGTGCATAACGGTTTAGCCCTGCTAAAATTCCTCCACAACACTAATGGGTTGCTCTCCACGTGAGAAATTCTGCTCTCTCTTCACTCATAGCAGAGCCCTTACTCCAGGAGCAATTTATAATGCCACTTAAAACCTGCATCTTGATGAATCCAATCTGCACCAATAAATGGGATCAACTGCCATTATCCTCTTCTGAAAATTATCTTGAACCCAACTGTGTCAAGAGAGCAGGGCAGACACATGGAAGGAAAAGGATAATTTGCAATGAAGGAGAGAATAAATATGATAAAATCTCAAAAAGGACACGAGATGGCAGCACAGAAGACCAGTCCCCATCATGAACCAACTTTCCCTGAGCACACGTGTGCATCTTTGTCTCAGGCACCATGTAAGATTCTAGAAGACAGTAAGACTGTCCCTGATCTAAACTGGCCTATGGTTCAGGAAGGCAGAGGGAAAGGCACACATAAGCAACTTCTGTGTAAGGCGGAAAGTTCCAGGAAGACGAGAGCACTCCGGGAATTCAGAGGAGGGAGAGTTTACTTCCACCAGAGGAAATCTAGGAAGGCTGCCCGAAGAAGGTAGCCTTGACCTGGGTCTTCTGTAGGAACAGGTAGCATTCACACTTGGGGAGGAAGGGAAATGTGCTCTCAGAGATTCAGAGATCTCAGAGAGCCTTGAAACAAACATAATTATCCAGGCATTTGCCAGCAAAATATGCGAAGTGGAAGTAGGATACACTTTACTGAACTTGTGGTTCCCAAATACATCCTGTTTCTCACCTCTCCACCTTTACTCATGCTGCCTATACCTTCCACCTGGAACATTCTCCCTCACCCCCACTTTCACTTCCACATTCAAGAATGTTACTTCCTATTCATTCTTCACTTCTCAGCTTAGACACACATCCTCTAAGAAGACTTCCTTGACACCTCAAAATGGATTTACTGTCTATCCCTACCTAGGCTCCAATAGTGCCCTGAGCTTACCTCTGTCATACTTGAAATGCCCAAATTGTGATTGTCTATTTCATTATTGAGCAACACCGCTAATCTGTAAAAGTTCTCAGAGAAGGGTCCGTCTGCTCCATTCTTGTGGACCCAGTGCCTGGTAAAGCATCGTACTCACAACAGTGGTCAATAAACATTTAACAAATGATTGATTGAATTTTAAAAGTGATTGGGCAGCCCAATTCTATACTACAACCCAATCGTGTCCCCTCTCTGAGCTCAGAAAGTCTCTACGTAATTCTACCAAATCACTTTGCAGCTGAAAGTATACACATGTCCAGATCCGTTTTACCCAGCCCCAAACTAAATGAAAAGTCAAGGCCAGCCCTGAGCCACATGAATAACCCCCCAAGGCCATCATGGTCTCGAGGGCAAAGTTTTAGCCCCAGCAGAGCTTCCTAAGCAAGCCTGTGAGTGAGGCCTATGGACATCATTCATTCCTGCCAAAGAGCTGCAAAGATCAACTCTCATTGACAAACAGAGCTGAGACTTCAAAGCATGAAGAGACAGCCAGTGCAATTAAATAACGAAAGACCCCAGTTTCAGGCATAAAAAGCACTTACTACCCTTTATATAATAGCTCAGCTCAAGGAATAAAAAGAAATTTTTTTAATGTTCAAAATGTTAACAGTGATTAATTCTAATGTCAGTATGAGTGATTATTAAAACCCCCTTAACTACTACATTTTCCAGATTTTCTACAATAAAGATTATTTACTCATCAGAAAAGGAAAAGTGTCTTTTAAGTGCATGATCAGGCCCATTGTGCCTCCTGGCCCATGACTTTTTCCTACTAAGCCTTAAGCCTTAGTAAACCTATGAAGATTTTTGAAGGGAGGCCCCCAGCTCCCAGGCCCTTGGCGCTGGCCACACCCAGAAGCCTTCCTGTTTAGAGAAGGAAATATGTTACTTGGCTTTGGATGGCTTCTCCATTCTTCCTCTTTGCAGTGGCTCTTCTGGGCTGGGAACCAGCAAAATCCTGGTGTCTGGCTTTATCCAGATCCTGGGCACAGGCTTCTGAGTTTCAGAGTAATCTGGTAGGTGAGGCTATTGGAGGGGGTGTGGCTGAGTCAACGCTCATTGGTGTGCAAGGCAGTTTGCAAGCATCATGTTACCCAGTGCAATCAAAGGTGCAAAAGCAAACTCTCTCACGAAGGGTGAATCCATCTGCCAGGCTTTTTAACCACTTCCGCCCACTGGCATGTATTTTTGCCCCTTCAACGACAAAGCCAAAGACTAAATGCCTCAAGATTCAAACTCATATTCTTCTAAGAACTATGTGATATGACCATTTCATGTCAAGGAAAACATCTAATAAGATCATTTAGCTCTCTTAGAATAGGGCTGTCTAATAGAACTTCCTACAATAATGAAAATATTCTATTAGTGACACTATCCAAAACAATAGCCACCAAACCCTGCCAATATTCAGCATTTGAAATGTGGCTAGAGAAACTGATTCAATTTTTAAAATTAATTTAAATTTAAATAGCCACATGTAACTGATGGCTACTGTTTTGGACACTGCAATTAAGAATCCCAAAACACTAGCCCAGAAAGTACCCAATAAATCATTAGAACCTTTGATTCTCAACCTTTGTGTTTATGAGACCCATTCTCAATATTGAAGATGTATGAAGAACTGTCTCATGTTAACGGAATGTTTGGTGTAGGTTGATTAAGAACATCACAATGAGCAAAATTTCAGTTATACTTTAATTTTTTTTATTAAGAAAATTATGAAGATCTAAGTTAGGAAAAATTCAATAACACATTTTAATTGTATTTTGCTAGTTACACCAGTATCCTCATCCACATATATAACGGTCACGTGTGAGATGTTATTTTGCTCAGCCTTCACGCTCGCCTGACTTGTGGATTCCCATATTCTCTCCAGTAACTCCACAGCCTCCAGTCACCATTCCCGCAATGCAGAGCTCAATGGCTTAGTCCAACCCTTGGTTTTAGAGAGAAAGAAAAAAAAAATGGAGCCCAGCAAAGGAGGAGACCTGCCCAAATCACACAGCGAATAAACAGTGGCGTTGGCCTGACACTCAGACCAAGGCTCCTTTCACTCTGCCAAGAAGCCCAAAGAAAAGAAACCGGGCTGGAAATCCACAAGGGAGAGACAGCTGGCTATGTTTAAACTGCTTCTCTTTTCTTTCTCTTTACAATTGTAGGAAATAAAAAGAGCAGACTTTTGTCAATTTCAAATAAATAAATATGTTGATGAACAAATGATTGCGTAAGTATGCCTATGAAGGGGCTGTGAGAAAAATTGAACTAGTCCAGTTGTATTTCAGTGAATTTCAATAGCTTTTGAGATTTTTCTGAAGCTTTTATATAATAACTTCCCCAGCCTCTGTGGGTTTCGTTAGTATCAGTGAGCATCCTCCCAGAAACAAGCAATAAAGCAAAAATTATCTCTTAATAAAAGACCAGGTTTATGAGCTCCTTTCAGTGACAGGAAGCAGGACCCAGAGGAAAGAGCCAGGGTGGTCTCCTTAGTTACAGCGGCCACAGAGCTCACCTGGAGGAGGGGATGGGTCAGAGTCTGCTTCCTATTTTGCTCACACGACGCTGCCTCCAATATCACACACTGCACTGTTCTTCTAGATCCCTGGGGTTGGCTGGAAATGTTATTGGAGTCAGTGCTAAGGATTTAGGACAGTCAGGCTTTCAATTTTAAAGGCTTCTACCTTTGGATTCCCACACTATTTGATTTTCTTTTATTTTGAACCTTGCCCACAGTGACGATGACCCTGGAGTTAACCACCTGGGCTTGAATCAAGACTCTAATAACTACTAACCACAGAAAGTTTGGTCTCTCAGTCTCCGTTTTCTGAAAAAATTTACTATATAGCCATGTTGAGAAACTAGAGATGGTTTTCATAAATCTCTTATGACACGCCTGCCCACCCTCTCCCCCCAAAAAAGTCAGTGCTGCTCTCTCTGAGATATTGAGTATTATAATGAATCATGCTGTGCACGTGTTAGGCTGTATACTTCCTGGGAGCAAAGACTTCACCTTCATTTTCCAACCACCTCAGGCCCCCATAGGTGCAAAACTCTATAGGTGTTCTGCAGGTGTGTGTGCTGATTATGAATGTCAGCTTTGGTATTAAACATACAAAGGACAAAGGCTATAGTCCATCTTCAGTACTTGTTAGGCTTTTTTTAATTGGTGAGTTTCTTGATGCCCCTGGGCCTCAGTTTCCTCATCTTTTAAATGGGTTTAATCCATCAACTTGCAGTTCCATTGTGAGAATTAAAGGATCCTGGCATGTGATGAGCTGGCTGATGTGGGCATATTAATGTGTCATCCCAGCTCTCACCTTGGTGAGTACCATATGACGTCCATGCTAGAAGTTGCTAATAGACAAGAATCCAGGGATTAATTTTCAGTGCACTCCCTTATTTGCTCACCCCAGACCAAACAGATGCCCCACTGCTAATGGCAGCCAGAGGCAAGCCCACCATAAACCCAGGGCGTGAGCAGACTCCACAGAGCACATGCCAGCTGTTCCCTCAAGAAGAACAAATATGCCCTGTAATTCTCTGGAACAAAACCAACAGCCTGTTTGCACAAGAGCGTGGAAATTCAAAACAGATACATGCCAGAGATGCAGCCTAGTGCAGATGGCAGGATACTGCTCTGAGAGTCGGGAACCCTGTGTGTGAGGACTTGATCTCACTAGCAACCAGCTGTGTGCCCTTGGATAGTCCATTTCCCTGCTCTGGGTCTCCATTTCCTTCCCCCTGAAAAAAGGGCCTAGCTTAGGCGGTCTCTAAGGGCCATTTGCAGCCTCTGGATTGCAGCACCCTAGCTGAACTAAGCCAACAGGAAGATGGGCACCAAACACAGAGCCAGAAAGAGCTGGGTCCAAATCCCTAGCTGTTCAACTTTGATCAAGCTTCTTAATCCCCCTGAACCGGTTTTCTCATGGGTAAAGTGGGGGAGATAAACACGCTGTGAGAGAATTTGAGCTAGTGAATGTCAAGCACAACCCTGTGCCTGGGCCACTGCATATGCCCAATAAGGGGTAGTTGCTGTTGCTGTTATGAGCACCATTTTCATTGTCACTATTATTATTAATAGTATTATTAACTTTATTTTAAAAAATTAAGGGCCCAAAACATTTTATTGGATAACTGTCATGTACAACCCAATAGGAATGTCAACTCTTCACAAGCAATTTGTCTAAAATTTGTCAGTTTTCTGCTGTGTGTAATTGCTATTGCTTTTCAGTTTTTTTACCTTAAATATTTTCATTTCTAACACTATAACTTTACTTCCTTAATAATAACAAATAATATAAACTAGTTTAGTACATGAGGAATTTCAGATACATTATCGCATGGACTCCCATGCCATAACCATCATCACCATCATCATTGTTGTCATTGTCATTGTAACCATTACGTTTAGAGCTAAGTGGCTTATCCTAGACCTCAATGCCCATCCAACCAGGAAATCACAGAGCCTGGACTGTAAGTTAAGGCTTCTGACTCTGAAGCTCATGATTTTTCCACCTCACGATTATTCCACCTCATCATCAATTTCATGAATTAATTCAACTTTTTCTTCACTGTCATTGCCTTGAGCAGTCTTAAAATATATTTTTTTATAAAGCAACTGCCCTTGTATATATGTGGAATTGGAAATACATTTCTTAAATGTTTAACCCTAACTCCTGGTCTATCTAGTTGCACACCATGTAACTTAATCTCTTTTTCCCACTAGACACACTTAAACAAATTTTAGAAGACCTCTTTGTTTTTTTATGCTAAACACCTCAGAAACGTTGCTCTTATTTCAGATACATAGGGGCAGTGTTTTAGTTCACATTTTTTGGTTGTAAAAGGGAACTAATTCAAGTGAGGGGTAGAGATTATTTTAAGGCTTTCTACTGAATAGAATTATGTTGAACAAAAAGAGTGGGCTGTCATGAGACTAGGCCACATGAAAGATGGAACTGAAGGATGATTCTTGACCTAAATCAACCCCGCAGTACTGGATGCAAAAGGTCTAAATCTTATCCCTAGTTATCTACCATCCTCCATCTTCCATCTCCTACATCTTCTCCCTGTGGTCTACCATCTCTCCATCTTCCATCTCCCATCTTCTCCCTGTGGTCTACCATCTCTCCATCTTCCATCTGCTATCTTACCATCTACTATCTTCTCCTTAGTGGTCTACCATCTTGCCATTTTCCTGTCTACCATTTCTCCCTAGTGCTCTATCAGGCTGCTCATCTGTCCTTTTATCCTCATTGACTGGATGTCTTACTCTTTATTCAAATTTCCTGCAGAAGTTATATCCACAGCTCAGCTAATTACCATCATTACTGTTTGGAAGAGTCTTTTTAACATGAGAGCACATGATAGACCACTGAACAAGCTGTATGTATTTTTGCCCCTTCAACAGACAAAGCCAAAGACTAAATCCTCAAGATTCAAACTCATTTATTCTAGAACTATGTGATATGACATTTCATGTCAAGGAAAACATCTAATAAGATCATTTTTAGCTCTCTAGAATAGCTGGTCTAATAGAACTTCCTACAATAATGAAAATATTCTATTAGCGACACTATCCAAAACAATAGCCACCAAACCTGCCAATATTCAGCATTTGAAATGTGGCTAGAGAAACTGATTCATTTTTAAAATTAATTTAAATTAATAGCCACATGTACTGATGGCTACTGTTTTGGACACTGCAATTAAGAATCCCAAAACAACTAAGCCCAAGAAAGTACCCAATAAATCATTAGAACCTTTGATTCTCAACCTTTGTGTTATGAGACCATTCTCAATATTAAAGATGCATGGAGAACTGTCTCATGTTAACGGAATGTTTGGTGTAGGTTGATTAAGAACATCACAATGAGCAAAATTCAGTATACTTTAATTTTTTTTATTAAGAATTATGAAGATCTAAGTAGAAATTCAAAAACATTTTAATTGGCATTTG